CTTCACTTTAGAGACTATCGAGTCATAATGTCACTCTTTGAACCGAGTTCGAGTCATGATGTCACTCTAGTGTAGGGCGGTTCAAAACACCGAGTCATGATGTCACTCGAGTGTAGGGCAGTTCAAAACACCGAGTCATGATGTCACTCGAGCGGGTGGGTTAACTGTAGAGACTCGAGCGGTTCATTTTAGAGACTATCGAGTCATGATGTCACTCTTTGAACCGAGTCTGAGTCATGATGTCACTCAAGTGTAGGGCGATTCAAAAACATCGAGTCATGATGTCACTCACTCTTTGAACCGAGTCTGAGTCATGTTGTCACTTGAGTGTGCGGGGCGGTTCAAAACACCGAGTCATGATGTCACTCGGACGGGTGGGTTCACTAGAGCATCTCTCTGTAGAGACTAAACAAAATCCCAATTACCCTATTACCCTTGCAAAAAAAATGAAAGCAAATGTAGGGCGGTTCAAAACACCGAGTCCGAGTCATGATGTCACTAGGGTAGTTCACTGTAGAGACTCGGGCGGTTCAAAAATCGAGTCATGATGTCACTCGGGCAGGTTCACTGCAGAGACTATTGGGTCATGATGTCACTCGGGTGGTTCACTGTAGAGACTCAGGCGGTTCAAAACACCAAGTCATGATATCACTCGGGCGGTTCACTGTAGAGAATATTGAGTCATGATGTCACTCAGGCGGTTCACTGTAGAGACGTGGGCAGTTCCAAACACCGAGTCATGATGTCACTCAAGCGGTTCACTGTAGAGACTCACCGTTTTTTCTCTAAAACCCGATGATATTGCGAATTTTACTCATGTGGTTCGGGCGGTTCACTGTACTAGATCCGGCGAACTCGATGATACTGCGAATTTTACTTGAGTGGTTCACTGTACTAGAACTGACGATACTGCAAATTTTACTGGACTCAACACGGTGTGACCGATTCCCGTGTCGACTCTAAAATATAGTACGTCTTGCGAGACATTATCTGGTCAGTCTATTTTCAAGATTTTCATGTATTTGTATATCTACTTGATTTGAACCATTATGGAGTTTAAAATTTTAGATGGATAAGGCCATCCAAGTCTTTTTTTTTATGCAAATCACACCCTTTCTTAAAGAAAAATGGTTTGATAGGGCTGCATCCCTATCAAAATAAGTAAAGCCTCACCAAATGACTCATCGAAAATTGTAATTCAAGTATTGGAAAATCTTTACATTCATCATCTTGATTTAAACAAAAAAATTAGGATTTCAAATTCTAAAAAATAGTGTATAGTTTAAAAAATTATCTAGACCGTCCATTTCGCTCTAAAAATAAGTGCTCAAAGATCCACAAGATCGGTACGATATTTTAAGTTTCGATTTTTATTATCGGTGTTGAAAATTGATTTTTAGAGCTTGAACCTTTGCATGGCTCAAAGTGCTTTCCAAACTAGGATTTAAGGTTAGGCTTTATTTGGTTTTCATATACCCTACGCCTTATAGAAATTTCATCCCTTAAAATGGGTGTTGAAAATTGATTTGAGAGGGCACATTTCCATAGCCGAAAGTGCTTTCAAGACTAAGATTTAAGGTTAGGCATTATTTGGTTGTCATATACCCTAGGCATTATAGAAACTTCATCCCTTCTCAAAAGCGCCTCATTTTTCGCTGGTTCCTGATGAAGATCACGGGAGTGTAGACCTCGTCTCTGCCTGCCTTCTATCTCACAGCGATTAGGGCCCTAGAGAGGAGAAATATTCCAGTAGGAGGAGAGAGAGAGAGAGAGAGAGAGAGAGAGAGAGAGAGAGAGAGAGAGAGAGAGAGAGAGAGAGAGAGAGAGTAGGTAGGTAGGTACGGGTACGGGTAACGGGTACGGTACGGGACGGCGGTCGGCGGACCGACGACGAGTAGAGTACGGACGACGACGGACGGACGGG